CCCCAAAACCCCAAAACCCCAAAACCCCAAAACCCCTTGATTTATTAACGAATTTGAAAAATATTCCTATTTCAAATATGTAAGCCTTATATAGTAACTTTAGGGACCAGGAATCCTCACAACTTGATCAAGAAGATACGGTAAAGATCTCTGAATTATTTATAGGAATTTTTGAATCTTGATGAAGACGCTAAGCAAGAGATTAAAGCTATAATGATTGAAAAACATCCTTTAAAGTACGCTGGGCTGGAATGGAAGCAGATTTTCCCTTTCCTCCAGTGGTGAACTTGTCTAGAAGGGAGTGAGAAGATCATACCAGAGGAGAAAACTAAATTTGTAGAGAAGACTTTTGTCAAAAGTGACGATACTCTTTCTTATAGGTCAAATGAGAGAATTGTTGCAGCTAAGAATAAGTCAAAGATGGGATTTTTAAGTCTTGGATATGGATTTGTAGCGTATTTTTCATTTATGGAATTCATGATTATTCTATTCTCAATCATGACTTTGTTATCTCTACCTTCTCTTTATTATTTTATTACTTTTCGAAAGACTCCGAATACACAAGCAGGTTTGCTAGATAAATTCAGTCTCGCTAATTTAGGATATTCCTCAACTCTTTGAGATGCAAATCATCTTGAAATAAAGAAACTACACATGAGCTGAGAGACTGGAGAAATGCAGGAATTAGTTTCTTTCGGCATAATCCCTCCTATGTCCGAAATTCAAGATGCTTGATATGAGACTGAAGATACTCTGAATTGAAATAGAGTGATCCAGTTAGATAAAATTACATCCCACATCTTTGAAAATTGAATAGGAAATCGAAGTTGATCCATAAATTTTGGAGATTATTTGCTCAAAGACATAGATCCAAATTCAACTTGCCTTAATGTAAACGCTAGGTTTTACACTCAGATGTTATGAAAAGTAACAGATTCTGAACTAGAAGAGAGGAAGAATATCCAATTAATGCTTGTCTGGACGATAATCCTGTCTGCCCTGATCTACTTCATAGCAATAGAATGGTATGGGAAATACTCAGAGAAATTTGAGGATTATGACAAATCAACAACGACTACATCTGATTTCACAGTGGAGTTTAAATTCGATAGCTCTATGTATAAGCAGTTTGAGGATATTATCTACCCGATGGTCGTTGAAAGGAGGAAAAAATAACAAAGCTGCTTCTCTTCCATGAATAGTGGTTTTCAGAGAATACATTTCTAATTATTTAGAAATTGTTCTGGAAAAATACAACCATGAATCTTTTAACACTAGTAGAGATTCTGAGCTCTTTGAGAATAATCAGGGTACTTCAAGAATAAACAAGTCTGACTTACAAACACAGAGTAATGCATTGGAAAGCCCAGAAGCTAAAGTGAAGACCACTTGGCAAAGTCTCTTCATGGACTATGCTTTTAGGCTGTCTCAAATGGAAGAGAATAAGTCTGCTGAAGAATTTGGACAGATTCCTGGAGAAAAGTTCCATATCGCTGACATTAACTTCACATTTAAAAATAGAAGATTGATGGATTTGCTACTTGAAAGAGGAGTTGCCCTAGAATGCAAAGATCATGAAACTCAAGTTGCCATTGAAAAGGACATAGATAAAGTTGTCAGTGAAAAATACGAAGAGCTGACCACGCCTACATCAATGTTTGTCACTTTTGAAACAGAATGAGGGTATCTAGCTGCTATAAAAATGAAAGAGTTCAATTTAGATGGGTCTGAAATCCCCGCTCCAGAACTAAACCTTCAGAGATGATGAACTGCTTATGATGGGACCAGATATTTTAAAGACTATGACCTGAGTTGATCTCCTGCGAAAGAACCGAGCTTCATTCTCTGGGAATGATATGGAGTAAGAGGCAATGAGAAGTGTTGTAAATTTACATTAGTAATCACTGCTATCATGTCAATTGTTCTTGCAGCCTTCGTGTTTTTCTTTTACACACAGAAGATCATTTATGACTATATGAACGTGTATCCTTATGTAGACTGAGAAGCTGTAGAGCAGACTTATGACCATAATTTGATACACTATGGGGTACAGGAGTATCATTACCTGACTAATTTTTATAACACTAATAATTTGACTTCAAGTATGGGGATTCTGAACTGTCTCTGCCAGAACTATTCAGATACTCACGGAATGATAAGCACATTTGGAGCAGAGATGTACTTGCTTCAGAAAGGTCAAATAATGGGCGGTAAGGTTTGATATCACTGGTCTCAAGGCAAATCCCTCATCTTTGTACTTGACTTAGTAATTGCAGCTGTTATAGCAATCACAGATTTTGTACTGAGGGTAATAATAATCTTCCTAGTAGAGTGGGTTGATTTTAAGTCACTAACACATCGACTGGTTATTGTGCAATCTCTTCTCTTCTTCTCACAGTATTTAAATAGTGGCTTATCTTTGATGCTGATAAGCTTTAATATTGATGAGATGGTGCAAAGGCATGTTCCATATTTGGATGGAGACTACCCGGATTTTACTCAAAGATGGTTCTTTGAGGTTTCATCTTCATTTATCACTCCAATGGCGGCCAATGTAGCTATTCCAGTCTTGGAATTTGTTGCAACTTATTTGCTTTATTACTTATTTTGTTGGCATGATAGGTTCTTTACCTGTGATAGAACCAAAACTAGATCTAAAACTTTGACACAATATATCAGATGACATATGGGACCGGAGAATGAGATATTTGATAGATACGCTTTCATGCTAATGATGATTTATATCAACATTACGTTTGGAGTTGGTCTTCCCCTTTTATTTCCAATGACCCTGATTGCACTCATTTGCCACTATGTATTTGAAAAACTATTTCAGGTTCATTGGTACTCAAAATCAGTGATGATGGGAGACTTCTTAAACAAAGATGCTTTAGTAGTAATGAAATGGGCTATTCATCTTTACACTTTCTTCGGTTACTGGTTTATTACCAATAGGCAAATCTTCTACAACGATGTGACTCCAACAATGAGGAGGAGTGATCGTGAGATCACAAACCATACATTCTACAACATTCCAATGGACCAGACATTACCCTTACTAATATTCATGTTCTCTCTCTTCAGCATTATGATAATAAAATCGTTCTATTCCATCTTCAAATACTACTGAATGCCTTATTCCTTTTTAAAACGATTTCTTTCTAAAGAAGGACTGTTTACATACTACGATAGCTTAAGCTTAACCGATGCAAAGACTCTATTTGAAGAAGAGAAGTACAGACGGGAAGACCTGGGTTATTCGAAACTTAAGAATAGAGCATTTCTGAGCTTGAAAAAGTCTATATCCTCTAGAAAAGCCTATGAGAGAAATCTTACAGCTGAGCGAAGGAAGGAACTTATCAGAAAGACGATCATTAATGTTCCCAGTTATGACCAATTGTCTAATCTAAAGTATCAAGAGGATTATCACTACATTCCTGTACATTTGAGAAGGAAAAACTTGGAGACAAAACGACTGATTCCTGATTTGGATTATACTAGAAAGATGGTAGATCTAGCTTATTGGTATGAACTAGAGAACATACAGACATAGGTATTAAGATAAGATTGACTATGCTTCATTAAAATATTCAATTAATCTCTAAGATCTCGGGGTTTTGGGGTTTTGGGGTTTTGGGGTTTTGGGG